TCAGGTTATTTTATTTGTTTCACACAAACACGTCGACGCCTCGACCTCATTAGCTTTCTTTATAGATTTTGGCTAAGATTCAGACTGGAACTGTTGTGCCTGCAGATGGTCCAGCTTGAACTTGAAGCATCCAACGTTTCAACTTCACGGACTATCTTTGTTGTATTTGGGTAATTCAAAGGATTTGGTTGTTTATTTTTAATGCTTAGACGTTCACATCCACATAAATCTAGCATAAAATGCTGAAAATATCTTGTGGCTAAAAATTTGAGCAAATGACATCAAATATGACGGGTTACATACGGCATACGACGGTGTTGAGTGNAAGAGGCCATACCATGAAATCATAAAGCCTGATGTGTTTCAGCTGTTTAAGCGCAAAGTTTATATCTCGTCAATTGCGTTCAATTTGACTGTCTTCACAGTTATTGTGTTGTTTGCATGCCACTCATTTTTGTGTAACGATAGTTCAGCTCCGCTGATCAACACGGTGTCCCCTTGAGGATTGGCTTTGTGGGCTTAATGCCTTAATTAGTCCTGTAAGTTCAAGTAGTACTTAGTATCAACTAGATTATCCTGATCATAAAACCGTGATTCAATTTAGAGTCCTGCAACTTTTATTAAGTTCTCGTTTTTGCATCTTTCTTCGGAAGTTCATTCTCCGGTTAAGACAGAAAAATCCAAACCGTGATTTGTGGATTGTGGTAGTCAGTTTCAGTAGCATTCAGTGTGGAGTTTCCTGGAAGCAAGAACTTGGAATAAAATGGACAAACAGCGTGACGTGATGTTTGAGGCTTGACTTCGTCTCTCACACGGTTTTACGTTACATTGTTTTCGCCTTCTTCTGAGAGTTGGTGTGTTACGAAATTCTAATGTAATGGACAACGTTTCTGCAAACTGTAATAAAAATCAAATGTCTATTTCCGCGTTCTTGTTTTTCCAATGCTAAAAGTCTGCAAACTCTGGTCATGTTACAATTTTACATCCTCTACGTGCACGTCATGTATCTGTTTTTCTCTCACTTAGATATGCTAATCTGTCTTTTCCATCTTATATGGTCAAATATTTGACCTTCAACATATCATTTCATTTATACATTGGAAGATGTGTTTAGTTAGGGTAATATTGTAATTTGATAATAATTAAAACTATATATATATAACACTGATTTTTTTTAATCAAAGTGTCGGATCAGCTTACACGTGATTAATTCTTGAGAGAGATTAGTGTAGCAACCTACAGTCATAACCTTTCATTTAAATTATGGATACTCAGATAGAAAATCGAATTTGAGATTGTATGCTTATTCAGACCATCTCTATTTCACCCTAATCATCTGAATTACCAACAAATGGGTTTATAATACCAAATATTCACAAACACTAAAATGCATTTTATAAATAACGTGACACCGAACATTTGCGAGCAATAAAAAGCTGTTAAAAATAATGTTAGCATCATCCCCAGTGACAATCCATCTAATTTACAGAGATAAGAGTCCGATAAACATCTCTTTTGTGGTGATGTTTGGTTCCTGGAGATGGAGTGCAATGGAATGGAAATAGAAAAATGCTATCCTTATAAAGACCCATACAAAGAGGGCTACAAAGTGACATCATCCAGAAGAAAAAAACAAAGAAAAAACAGAAAAAGAAAAAGAGAGAGAGAGAGAAATCATGAATATTAAGGGTGGGGATTGTCTTTGTATACCCCCTTTATATGTGTCTTTGTAAAACTAGCATTGCTCATGGAAATATGAATATGGATAATGATGAATATGTGAATGAAATGTAAGTAACATTGTTTAGTTGTAAGAATAAATTTGGAAGGAATGGAACCAAATATATAATATGTGGACAAAAATGTCCTCTAAGTAAAATGTTGAATTTTTAAGTATAGTGGATTTTATTATGGTTTTGAAGTAGTAAATTAATTTCATATTAGGTTTTAAATACTAATATTTAAGAAAACAATATTATTTTTTAAGGTTGTTTATATTAATAAACATAAAATGTATTTTTATTTAGATAAAAAATTCCAAAATTTGTAAAGTATGTAAAAGTTTGAAAAATTTTAAAATTTTCAAAAAAATAAAAAAATTTTAAATCGATCATTGCTATTCAAAATTGGTGCCAGCAAATTCCCTTCACACTATTGGCGCCACCGCCGACATGTGACAGATGAGCGGCCAACAATCTACCGATCTAGGCAAACGTTAGCCGCTGAAAATCTGTACAAATATGACACGCGCATGACATTATTTTGGTGGTTTTAGAGGTTGGGATTTGCCTATATCGGCAAATTGCCAGCCTCTCATCCCTCATATGTGGGGTGTTCAAAAAAAAATGCAAAAATTGAACCAGTAACTGAATCGAAAAAACAGTTTGATTAAGGTTTAAAAAATTCAAAAAAAAGGATTTTTGATTCGGTTATTGGTTCGGGAAAAAATAAAAAAGGGTTAATCGAAACCGGTTTTTTGAACCAGTTATATATATATATATATATTAATTAATTAAATAAAAATAAAAATAAATATTATATATTAAATAAAAAAATAATTTCATTTCGGACTTTTATTTGTATCAATTTTTAATGTATTGTTAGTAATGATCAATAGATATGTATGAGCGTTTAATTTTTATTTGGATATGTATTGTTTATATTTATAATTTAATTTAGGAAAAAATTAAAAAAAATAAGTTTTATAAAAAAAAAGGGATAGCTGGTTAACCGAAAAATCGGTTTTCCCGAACTAAAAAATCGTTTCGGTTTAGAAAACGGTTAACTGGTTCAGTTTCGGTTAAAAAAAGTGGTTAGCTAGTTCAGTTAACCGCTTTTGAACACATATGAGCATGGTTGTTAGTATCCTACGATACCCGATACGTATCATACGATACGATTCGATACAGGTCGCCAACGATACGTATCAGAGAGTGTATCCTAAACCATTCGATACGTTGATATGTATCCTACGATACGATACGTATCCGTTCGTATCTTTAAAAATATCGATATAAATCGATACGACTTTATTAATTTGGGCCAAAGGTCCAAAAAAAATTTGGGGTCGAAACCGGGTCACCTAACCTGATTCACTAAAACTTGTCCAAATTTACCTATTTTGCATGGAGAGAGTGAAGAGGAATATGTATTACCCATTTTACATGATAATAATAATATAAGTGGAGATATAGATATTGACATTGATCTTGGAATTTTGTGATTAATTTTGATTGTGTAATACTGTAATTTAAAGTCAATAATACCACAAAATTCTTTAATTAATTTTGGGGATTATATTAATTTTTAGAAAATTTTGATTATTTTATTAATTTTTTTGAAAAAGNTCCATTACCAACAAAAGGCATAAAATTTTGAGGCTGAGAGGATGTAAAGACTGGTGGAGTGATATAAGTCTGTGGATGAGGATTTCCCAGAGACATTAGGGATGGTACAACATTCTCAACGTTTGTAGCTGTGTTAAAACCAGTCTGCTCTTTTGTTCCAGAAATGCCAGGTACATTAGGATGACTAGCTAAGGCTACATTAACAGATCTATTGTAGAGATCAACTGAGTTAAATTTTTCTAATCTCAGCTCATATTTCTGAAGTAAAAATTATGCCTCTTGAAGTGTAACATTATCAACTTTGGACTCTAATCTGGAAGTGAGAGTCATAACAGCAGCATCATACTCAGGTCCTAACCCATCTAATACATATTGAAGCAAGTCCTCATCAGATACAATCATTCCACTTGCTGCTAAACTTTCAAAAATCTCTTTCATCTTTTTAACATAATCACTAATACTGAGATTACACTTTTGAGTAGTTTGAAGTAAATTTCTAAGATGAAGAGCTCGAGCCTTGGAATCTGTTACAAATTCGTTTTCTAAGGCTAACCAAATTTCAGTAGCTAATCTACATTTTGAAACAACACAGAACATGCTTTCCGAAATTGATGCTAGTAGCCAGCTAACTAAACATTTATCAACTCTTTTCCACAAAACATAAGCCGGATTAAGTTGTTCACTAACCTCAGATTCATCAATTAGAACTGGTGAGGGACAACGAGCTCTACCTAAGAGGTGGTCTTCCAATTCATGAGAGCCGACAGCAGATAACACCTGGGAGCTCCAAAATCGATAATTATTTCGTGTCAACTTAGGGTTTATAACTTGCAAACTCGAATTGAGAGCTAAAGTCGATCGATTTGTAGAATCTTGCAACACTTCTCGATTGCTGTTAAGCATGTGAGAAGCAGAGGAATCCTTAGCCATTGACGCGAGTCTTGGCTCTGATACCATGACAAATTAGCTTAGGGTTTGCGAATAAGCAAAAATAGAGAGAAAAAGTGTTTAACTTTTCTTTACTGGTAAACTGATTTTTCATTATTCAGTGAAGAGTAAACTTTACTCTTTTAGCTATGATAGATTTTTTAAAGCTATGATTGTATGTTTGGTAAATTATAATAATCTCATATCTTATTCCATAAGAGTTGGCTAAACATATACCATCTGTTGAATTTAGCTTTATGATTTTGGACAACATAAACGAAATGAGTGTACTTATATATAAACATCGCATCACGCCCCTGTTCAACTTGATGTTACAATTGGTGCATCCTCTCAGTATTTCTAGCACTAGTCTTAGAGTATCATCCATTTGTAAATAGGCATTCTATATGCTATCTATTATCATTTATGTTATTATGCTTTGGCTAGAATTTATTAAGTACTTGCAGAAAGAAATGCATTATTAGGGTCCTGTGAGTAATTCATTTCGTAATTGAACTTATGGGCATATATGTATCTCCTGTATAAAATTACCGTTGATAGCCTGTAAAACATGAGATAAGTGCTGGTGAAAAGAGAAATAAGTAGCAAGAGGAAAGTTCCAGACAAAACTGTATCTGTATGGTGTGTTTTTTTCCAAGAGATATTTATAGTGGACTATGAATGTGTAGTTTATGCACTTGAAGTTATGTTTATGATTACAGTTCTAGCATGATAAGATGGAGAACATGCTATATGCTGAGGAGCTGGTGAGAGAGTTTCTTGTTTTTAGAGGGTTTACAAATACTTTGCAAGCTCTTGAGGCTGAGTTAAGCACAGATATAGGCAAAGGGTTTCAAGTGGATAAGATATTGGAGTTAATCTTCTTGGTATATATTCTTAAGTTTCAAGCAGAAAAATTGGTTAGTTTACTGTGTTTTTTCAAGAAGTGCTTTTCGTCATCATCGGAGACAGTACTTACTGCTTACTCTATTAAAACTTGAGGTCTCTATTCGACGCAACTATATTGTTCATGCCTTACAATCAGGAAGAAAAGACAAAGTTGTAGAGTTTTTTGGAATTAATGGAAATGATTTGCTGCAGAGGGGCCAAGATTGGGCTCCATGGATTGGTGGGTTTGTCTCTTATTCTTGAAATTGAGTTTTCAAGCAGTAATTTATCATTCATTGGTGATCATGGATGTGCCATGCAGCCATTCCTTATTTAAAAAATCCAAGCTTGGATCCTCAGTTTCGCATATATTTCTCAAAGGAATGGGTTGAAGCCTTGCGACTCTCTATGAGGAATTTTTTAGGGAGATCTTCAACGGAACTCATATCCTTTTGACATGAGTATCGGCTGAAATACTGTGAAGTTTTGATATTTTATTGTGACTCCATCTTCATGATGTCTATTGGTTGGTTGAGTTTAGTTGTTCTACAATCTTAAATCCTCATTCATAGAAAATGTTATTTTCCCAAATAGCCTCACACTATTGTAGTTTTTTTTTTTTTTTTTCTTTTTGGGTACTAAATTTTTCCACGTTTTCTATCCGAAGCCAGAAGATAATTTTTTTACTTATTTCAGACAAATTGTCACACAATTATGATCATGTAGCTATTTTCACCTCTTGACGATAAATTGATATGTTTTCTGATTGGATTTGGAAGAATTTTTCCTTAACTAAATTAAGTCTTCCTGCCCTCTTGAAGATTAGTTCAGAGAAGAACACTGTAAACCGTCTCAAAAAGGACATCAAACAACTTAATGTTAAGCTGTCACAACTTCAGGCCTTATTGGAGGAAAAAGAGGCTCAGTTAAACCGGTTAAGGAAGTAAGAGCTATCTTTATTTTTTCTCTTTGGACTTTGATGGTCTGCTTACTGCATTCTTCTCAAGGAAGCTGATATTAATTTGGCGTCTAATAATGCCAGTAATGCTGAGTCAATGAAGGATGCAAGCCCGGGACAAACTAAGTGTTCTACTCCATCAAGTAGCTTGCATGAAGAAAATGTTCTTTCTGCAAACAGTCAAGAAGCTTTTTCAACTGCTATAACAGATTTAGATGAGATAGAACCGGGTCAGGAATTGGCCACTAGTCTACCTCCCAAAGTTTTGTCAAGACTGACTGGACCCAAGTCTGGAAATGACTCAAGTTCTCGTTCAACTCTTGACGCTGAAGATGCTTGAGCTGGTGATTCCATTCAAATGTAGTACGATATTCCTTACAGTGGTAGATGACTGCTTTTATTGGTTGCCTTTATGAGTTGACGATAATGAAATAATTCTTGAGCACCATCTTTCAGGCAGCCTAAAGAAATTGTTTTGCTTAAATGACAAGGGTGTTGCCTCTCTGATATTCACAGAATTCAAAGATCAACAACTGAGATTTGACATGACTGTGGTTTAAGTGCATCAAGGGTGAGGGTGTCTAGGTGTGATGGTGGAAAGCAAGGAAACCATGCTTGTACAAACTACCAAAAGTTGAATAAATTATTGAGTAGATCAGATGTTAATATGCAATTAAATAACTGGGTGCTGTTTATTCTATCATGTGTAGAGAATTTAAAATATGATACTTGTGGAATATGTTAGATTTAAAAAGCAAGAGAAGGTTGCATTTGGGGCCGTCTATTGGAAGGGCTGAAGATATTAAATTGAATTTATTAATTTTGAGTCCGGGTTCTTTTGTAGTAGCTTTAAGCAAGAAGTATAGGAAACCACTTATTGAAGGTATTGAAATGGCTATTGAAGTTACAGATAGCACCTCACACTATTGAGGGTCGTATACATATAAGTACTCTGAATGAAGTTGTGTAAAAGAAGGGGTCTTGTGTCCCAAATTGTCCTCACACTATTGTAGATACCGAGAGAACAACACTCTCACCTGAATGATTAAAGCCCCTAATCACTCGACTGATACTCACAATCTGGAATTGAATCTGAACCCTAACACAGAGACAATAGCCGACTCAAAGAATAACCCTAGCCTCCTTTTTGTTTTCTCTCTCTCGAGAATGACTGTATCATGCGCTTATATATGGTTGACTCTGTGAGTGATCCTGGCCGTCCAATCTGAAACGAATCCTGTGGTCTGCATTTGCCCAAACTAATACGCCTGAACGACGCCGTATTAAAGTTACTTAAACGACGCTGTTTTCTGGCTTCCACATTTAACAAGAATCTACTTGAAAGTACTTTAAATAATGCAAAAACCGTATCAACACATTAAAAATTAAACGGACTCTGTGAATCATTAGACAGAGGAGGAAAGGCAAAAAGTGGCTTCCAGAAATTCCTTTTACAGATCTCAAATGCAAAGCAATCTATGTAGAAAGGTTAACATAACTTAGACACTAGTGGAAGAAATATATACCGTCTAGTTACCAAGCCTTCGTTGTAGTTTGGCAATATTTACTTCCACTGCCACACTCACACAGATCCAATCTTTAATATCAGTCAAGATATTGAAGTAGGCATGTCTCCATGATTGATTAAGCACAAGAGTGCCACACCCTCCCCAGAAGCCTGCAACATAACCATGGGCCAAGCTTGCATAATGCCCCAATATCTTTCTGTGACAAAACTCTCAAGTCTCTACTTGAAAGGTATATTACCATGGAATCTGTTAGCTTGCTAACTAAGAACAACCAAATTGGGTGGACTTTACCCGATCCATTAGGGTATCTTTCCATATAATGCATTACTCTGAAGATCTAAGATTCTCAAGTTTGTGCAATTCCTCAAAAATGGCGGAGAAGTTATTATTGCTTAAACTAAGTGTCGACATTATGTAGGGAGCCCAACGGGTGAGGAATTTTTTCCAGAGAAGGTATTGTTCGCCAAATTATGAACAGCTAACTTTTGAAACTGTACCCAACAATCTGGAAGAGTTCCTGATAGACGGTTGCAAGAGAGGTCAAGATAAGACAAGCCAACAACACATACAGAACATATGAAAGAAATTGGTCCTGAAATTCTGTAAAAATTTTGGACTGTGTTTGGTAAATACAATTTTTATAATGGCTATGATAGATTTTTTAAAGCTATGATTGTCTGTTTGGTAAATTATAATAATCTCATATCTTATTCCATAAGAGTTGGCTAAACATATACCATCTGTTGAATTTAGCTTTATGATTTTGGACAACATAAACGAAATGAGTGTACTTATATATAAACATCGCATCACGCCCCTGTTCAACTTGATGTTACAATTGGTGCATCCTCTCAGTATTTCTAGCACTAGTCTTAGAGTATCATCCATTTGTAAATAGGCATTCTATATGCTATCTATTATCATTTATGTTATTATGCTTTGGCTAGAATTTATTAAGTACTTGCAGAAAGAAATGCATTATTAGGGTCCTGTGAGTAATTCATTTCGTAATTGAACTTATGGGCATATATGTATCTCCTGTATAAAATTACCGTTGATAGCCTGTAAAACATGAGATAAGTGCTGGTGAAAAGAGAAATAAGTAGCAAGAGGAAAGTTCCAGACAAAACTGTATCTGTATGGTGTGTTTTTTTCCAAGAGATATTTATAGTGGACTATGAATGTGTAGTTTATGCACTTGAAGTTATGTTTATGATTACAGTTCTAGCATGATAAGATGGAGAACATGCTATATGCTGAGGAGCTGGTGAGAGAGTTTCTTGTTTTTAGAGGGTTTACAAATACTTTGCAAGCTCTTGAGGCTGAGTTAAGCACAGATATAGGCAAAGGGTTTCAAGTGGATAAGATATTGGAGTTAATCTTCTTGGTATATATTCTTAAGTTTCAAGCAGAAAAATTAGTTAGTTTACTGTGTTTTTTCAAGAAGTGCTTTTCGTCATCATCGGAGACAGTACTTACTGCTTACTCTATTAAAACTTGAGATCTCTATTCTACGCTACTATATTGTTCATGCCTTACAATCAGGAAGAAAAGACAAAGTTGTAGAGTTCTTTGGAATTAATGGAAATGATTTGCTGCAGAGGGGCCAAGATTGGGCTCCATGGATTGGTGGGTTTGTCTCTTATTCTTGAAATTGAGTTTTCAAGCAGTAATTTATCATTCATTGGTGATCATGGATGTGCCATGCAGCCATTCCTTATTTAAAAAATCCAAGCTTGGATCCTCAGTTTCGCATATATTTCTCAAAGGAATGGGTTGAAGCCTTGCGACTCTCTATGAGGAATTTTTTAGGGAGATCTTCAACGGAACTCATATCCTTTTGACATGAGTATCGGCTGAAATACTGTGAAGTTTTGATATTTTATTGTGACTCCATCTTCATGATGTCTATTGGTTGGTTGAGTTTAGTTGTTCTACAATCTTAAATCCTCATTCATAGAAAATGTTATTTTCCCAAATAGCCTCACACTATTGAGGTTCGTTACATATAAGTACTCTGAATGAAGTTTGTGTAAAAGAAGGGGTCTTGTGTCCCAAATTGCCTCACTATTGGAATATTTTTTTTTTTTTTTAACTAATCCATGTGTCCCAAATTTGTCCATCTTTTCTATCCGAAGCCAGAGGATAATTTTTTTACTTATTCGAACAAATTGTAACACATTATGATCATGTAGCTATTTTCACCTCTTGACGGTAAATTGATATGTTTTCTGATTGGATATGGAAGAATTTTACTTAACTAAATTAAGTCTTCCTGCCCTCTTGAAGATCAGTTCAGAGAAGAACACTGTAAACCGTCTCAAAAAGGACATCAAACAACTTAATGTTAAGCTGTCACAACTTCAGGCCTTATTGGAGGTAAAAGAGGCTCAGTTAAACCGGTTAAGGAAGTAAGAGCTATCTTTATTTTTTCTCTTTGGACTTTGATGGTCTGCTTACTGCATTCTTCTCAAGGAAGCTGATATTAATTTGGCATCTAATAATGCCAGTAATGCTGAGTCAATGAAGGGACAAACTAAGTGTTCTACTCCATCAAGTAGCTTGCATGAAGAAAATGTTCTTTCTGCAAACAGTCAAGAAGCTTTTTCTACTGCTATAACAGATTTAGATGAGATAGAGCCCGGTCAGGAATTGGCCACTAGTCTACCAGCCAAAGTTTTGTCGAGACTTACTGGACCCAAGTCTGGAAATGACTCAAGTTCTCGTTCAACTCTTGACGCTGAAGATGCTTGAGCTGGTGATTCCATTCAAATGTACTACGATATTCCTTACAGTGGTAGGTGACTGCTTTTATTGGTTGCCTTCATGAGTTGACGATAATGAAATAATTCTTGAGCACCATCTTTCAGGCAGCCTAAAGAAACTGGTTTGCTTAAATGACAAGGGTGTTGCCTCTCTGATATTCACAGAATTCAATTACAGACAACTGAGATTTGACATGACTGTCGTTTAAGTGCATCAAGGGTGAGGGTGTCTAGGTGTGATGGTGGAAAGCAAGGAAAATATGCTTGTAAAACTACCAAAATTCGAATAAATTATTGAGTATAGATCAGATGTTAATATGCAATTAAATAACTGAGTGCTGTTTATTCTATCATGTGTAGAGAATTTAAAATATGATACTTGTGGAATATGTTAGATTTAAAAAGCAAGAGAAGGTTGCATTTGGGGCCGTCTATTGGAAGAGCTGAAGATATTAAATTGAATTTATCAATTTTGAGTCCGGCTTCTTTTGTAGTAGCTTTAAGCAAGAAGTATAGGAAACCACTTATTGAAGGTATTAAAATGGCTATTGAAGTTACATGAAGGACTATTTGCGTCTTGCTGGGAAACTGAATTTATCCTTGTGTCTTGAATAGGTCAATAGGTTGCAGTATATGATTTAGGAACTTATAGTTAGTAGAAATAATTGTTGAATGTTTTGTGGCAGAGAATGGTAGAGAAATGCTGGGAGAAGAAGAATTCCCAGAATTGAAAGTAGATTTCCAGGTAAATTGCTTTAAAAGATTATTTTAGGTGCAGTGTTTTCACATTAGATTTTGGTTTTCTCCTTTCGGCATTTTGTTACTCATTTGCTAGTGAAAGATTTCTGGTTTATTTTGTGACTGTGTATGTGTAATTTTTCTTAGCATGTTATTTTAGGAGACATTTTTGGGCCACACCGGTCCCATCAGTCGCTGCCGCTTTTCTGCATCTTGAAAAAATATAGCTAGTGCTTCTGTGGTTGGCACTGTCAGGTACTTAATGGAAATAGGTGATACATTGGTGGTCCATAGTCCATGAGACTGCTAGTGTATGTTCACTTGGCTTAATAGGTTGTCCAACTTGTGCCTGTAGTGATTTAATCAAAATTTCCATTTGTGTTTGCGCATTTCAATTAGTTGGTCTGTTCAAATGGATTAATTCTGACTGGTTCAAATATTTCAACATTAAAAACTGATTTTGAGTGACATTAATTAACTACCTAATTTGGTGAACATGCTCGAGGAGACGCGGGAATGCCTCAATTACTTAAAGTTGTTCTTAAACTACTTGATTATTTTTTGGCATTTAATTTACTTACTACTTTTGGATTTATGCATATACAACAAAGTATATGGACACATGACTCGTCAACTCCAGCTTCTAGAAATGCAACCATATACTGTGGGGCAGAGATTATGTCGCTTGAGTGGGAATGTAAATCTGACCGCTTCGTACATGATGTGGCATTACATGTTTTGTTCTTCGAGATTACTAGTTCCAGCTTCTAAGTTATATTTTCTTTTTGACAAAAGCTTCTAATTGGCTGTAATACTCCGTATTTTCTTGGTGAGTTTTACTTAATTTTTATTTATGTGAATTTAGGGGGTAATATGTAAGAATTAAAACTTTTTAGAGATGTTTTAGTAAGAAATAAGGCATGCTGGGTTATTAGGTAGTTTTGCAAGAGTACTTGTGCGAAATTGGAAGTGTGAAAATCTTTTAACAACTTTATGAAATTGTTTAAGATGAGGGGTCCTTTTAATATTGTGTCATGCAAGGGTACATGCATAATTCTCCAGGGGTGAGATCATGATAAAACTTAACTTTATTTAAAGGATTTTGGGGTGCAAGATGTAAGAATCAAAGACTAAGGGATGCATGCATAATTGGCCAATGCAAGATGGATTAAAGGAATTTCTTTAGGAGAATTAGCCCACGGTTTTGGCACATTGTTTTGCCATGGTTGTGAAATTTTATAATTTTGAGGATAGGATGGTGGAGTGGAAAAAGAGAGACAGCCGGAAAAAAAAAAAAAAAAAAAAAGCCAAAGAGAAGGGAAAGAAGAGTGAAAGAGAGAGAGAGTGAGTGTCGGCTAAGTGAGGAGGAGGAGATCTCACAAGTTTTTTCTCAATGGGTAACATGCATGTGATTTTAGAGTGCATATCATTCCACCTTCATACAGTTTGTGCATTTCTTTTCTCTAAATCTTGGTGTGCTTCGGGTTGTTAGGTGGAGGAGAAAGGCAAGATCTTTGAGGCAGCTGGACCTTTCGGGCTGAGCTAAATTTGCTTGTGGAGTGGAATAATATTGCATGAAACTGCATGTTTTAATTTCATGGGTGGTTGTGGACAATTCGGGTGTTATGTCACTCTTTAATATTTTGTTGGCTTTATGGGAATGCTAAGCAGTGAATTGTATGAGGAGAAGGCATGAAATTGATAATTTATGGTTGCGTTGGTTGGGCATAATAAAATTTAAGAAAGTCAGCATATGAGTTTTGATACTTTCTTAATGATGATTTATTGTTATGGGTTCAGTTTATGAATTTTGCAAGTTGGAGCTGCTGGAAGTTACCTTGAGTATTCATATATTTACTGTTTTGATATTGTAATGTTGGCTGGAATTGTTTCTTAAAAAGAAATATGGTATGATGAAAACGTGAACTGAACTTTGTATGTATAGAATTGCTAATTGATTTTTTTATTTTGTTGGCTGGAAGTTCATTTTGCTTTGTGCTTGACGTCATTTGGAAGAGACATTTTGTTTAGCTGCTGGGAATTTGGGGAAAAGATAGTTGTTTGAATTATTGAGTTTTATTATAATAGTGGCGGGCCTAATATATAGGCCCAGATTTTGTTAGTTGGGTTTTAAAATGGACATGGCCTTTTGAAGCCTTATTGGGTTGTAAAATGAAAATGAGCCCATTATTGTTTGAGGCTTTAGATGAATTTGTTTATATTATTTTTGTTGGGTTTAGGCTTTGATGTTAATTAGTGGGGAGGTTATTATGGGAAAAGAAATTTTGGTGAGGCATTGTGTTCTCGGTTATGGGGTGTGTAATTGTCAAAGTTGAAAGTCAGTTTGGGGGTTGACTGCAAAGATTAAAAGTTTTGGGATTTTAGTGAATTGATGATAAATATAGGGTGTAAATAGAATTTTACATACTTTTGTATTTTGACGTGGTAAGCATTGCATTCATGATTTCATACCTTTTTATTGAAATTTTATTATACTTTATATATATGCATAAGGCAAATTTTATATTATACTTTATTATGCATAAGGCATGCATGATGCATATTTGGAATGAAATTGTGGATGCATGATTATTATATGTTTGACTCCCGGATTGGAAACCGTAACCGTCCCCCTCTAGACATCAGCTAGTATTTGATATTTATCCTCATGCGCGCATTGAGAAGGTCCTCTACCGAACCATTGGTATATCCTACTAGAACAGACGGACGCCACGAGCTCCAGCGGATTACACCAGGCGGTTATTGGCCGGTGTGGGATTTTGGACGCCCCAGGGTAGACTGTGGGGCGAGATTATATTTGATACCATATCATGACACCCCGGTAGACTGTGGTTGAGCATGGTATCCATGATGTTCGTACCATCCCGAGGGTAGACTGCGGATGGTCCACCCGAGGGTAGACTGTGGGTGGTGTAGCTTCATGTCTGAGTTAGGGACTGGTTCAGATAGTTTGATCTTGGCCCCTAAGTGCTAGTAGGGTGGTGATAACTGATTTATTTTATATGATAGTGGTGTGTGATTTCATGGCATCCGAGAATAATATATATATATATATATACTGTTGTTGCCTTATCATGTAAGTGCACTAGTGTTGTGTGGCATACAATTATTCATACATGTTTTCAAAGTTAAAGTTATTTTCGTATAAACTATATTATCCGCTCACTGGGCTTCCCAGCTCACTGTTTTATGTTTCCTCCCCCAGGACCGTAGATCGGGTTCGTGTGAGCATACTCTACGCTCTAGGTGTGGCCTTGACGCATGATGAGTTGCATCTTTTACAAACTTTAGTGGACTCTGATACTATGTTTCTTTTGTAACTGGATTTCAGTTCCTGTTTTTAGAATATTATTGTGTATTTCCACCTTCTAAACCTTAAACATGCAAATGCACTACTTCACTTTCGCCTATAAACGGAATTGTTTTTATGAATGTTTTTTTTTTTTTTTTTAAAGAGTATTCACCTTCCTTTCGGGATCTTGAGTCTCCTGGAGCGCCCGGATCCGGTGGGATAGGGATACTCGAGAGGGGGCGTGACATTGGCACTGCTGATGGAGGCATTAAAGCATGGAATGTTGATGCTAAGGGAGTTGTCTGTGATCTCAATACAACTGAAGCATTTCCTAGGTACTTTGACAACTGTGTGCAAATAAAGATCAAAATAGTTTATGCTCCTGATTCACATTTTTGTTTTGCTGCAGTGTCTTGGACCTAAAGTGCAGCCCAGTAGAACCGATATTTGTTTCTGCTGCAGCATCCAGAGGGTATTTGTTCAATCTCAATCTTCAACTGAGTATTTCTGATCTTACCTGAATAAAGTCTGTATGTATGAATGCTATTCTTCATAAGTGTTCGCTGGCAAGTTTCTTGTTGATGCTAGTTTTCTACTCATGGATACAATAATTGATAATTTCTGTATTTTGGTTTCCATGTTTTTTACTAACCAAATTAATTTTGAACCGTTCTTCCTACTAGTTGTAGTTGATATCCCATTTTTACTAAGCTTGCTAACTAAAAGCAGAAACTAAATTCTATCCCATGCAATAAGGGCCTTTCATCCCTCTGATAATAGTATTAACAAATACATCTAGCAAAGAACCAGAAAGATTTGAACTAATGATAATTTGTTTGAATCTGCTGATGTGGCTGACTCTGGTCTGCTTATGGTACTTTTTGGACACCTGACGGGCCAGCCATCCTTGGAATCCCCCAATTGATGAGTTGAACTGACCAGCTGCCTTGCTACATTTTTGAGAGCTCATCAAAGATTGAACAATGAAACATTAGTGTACTGGAATAAAAGCTCACTGCAATTGTTCTGGTATAAATATAATTTATGAATCAAACAATAGACTTAACTTTCTGAAGTACTAATATACTGTTTGCATTCTGTAAAAGAAAAACAGAGGATAATGATAATGATAATTTAAGTTTATTGGTGGTTCTGTATACATGGACTGATGATTGCATGTGCTTGGCGTATAAATCTAGGTACGGGTGAGCAGTTAACAATCTGCTTAATTGCAATATTTAGATCGTTAAATTATGTTTCTACCTGGTGAGGTGTTATATGAGAACATCAATTATTTTGCACATATTGTTTTAAGAGATTCATCATTCATGCATAAGTACTATATGGTCTCTCGATCTTGATCAATATTAATTTGCAGCTACGGCTCAAATTATACTGATACTTGGGGGTTTGCCTCTTTAACTGTCTGGAACATGAAAACATGGAAAGCTATGGTATGTGCCCTGAACTTCTTTTTGTGATACTGTTGCCAGTTTGTGCCTTAATGAATTTTCGCTTCTACGAAGACAGTCCTTCCTCTTGGTGAAGATCCACCAGCAATAACTTCCCTTGGATTCAATCACAACGGAAAGATTCTAGCAGCTGCTGCAGTCGATGGAATGATCCACATGTTTGGTATCCTTTTACAAGTATAGTGTTTGATGTAATTGTTAAGTAGCTAATGGTTTTAGGGAAATGTGAGCAAAAATGTCTCATACACTGTTACTCATGCTCTCTCTTAATGTTGACAGGTGTACATATTTAATTACAACAATGGCATTTTGATAATAGATCTAAATTAGAGGTTATTGAATCCAACTCGGATTGATAAACGTGTTAGGGACACATGTTCACATGAAAAAGAGAGATTGAATACAGAATGTCCTTAGCATTTCTGAACGTTTTATATACAATTTGCATACCCATTTTGACATATGAAGTTGCAGTTCTGAGAAGTAAAAGAAAATAAAATCCTTATTTCTTTCTTGTTTATTTTTTTCTGTCATGTAAAAAAAATTTGTAGTTGAAGGCATTACATGTCTATTGAACTGCTTATCTGCACTTCTTTTGAAAGGGTACCTCATTTTCTTGGTACCTCATTTTCTGTGACTTTGTTTGATATATGCTTAGTTTCAAAGAACAAGTTATGTGATCATCTGCATTAAACTTAACTTTCTGTTCATGTTATGAATTTTTTTAATCGTTTAGAGACTAACAAGTAAATCTTTCGATGTTTACAACTTTTGAACAAATTTTTTTAAAACCTTAGTCCATGATAGTGGAAACAATTGAAATCCATTCATGATGCTTTGAACTTGGATTAATGGTGGTTGATAATATCACATGTTTGCATTCTTGCATATTTTTCGTATATTTGCCTTCTTAAATCAGTGTTTTCTATATTTTGTAGGTTCTTTGAACCTGAGACCTAAAAACATTGTAGACATGAGATGGCTTTGGATGCCAATGGGAGGAGATTATTGGTAACATCGGGTTCAGTAAGGGCACCAATATATCAGGTTTTTCTCTCTCTTGTACACTATTAGCACATAAATACACGTCTGCTTGCATTGTGTTTGGCTCTTTTCTACATTTTGAGACCATTGGTTTGCATGCAAATTGATACTGAATGTCCAATCTCTAGACCATTGATTAAGTCGCTGACTTGTGGCCAAACTGATTACTACTTTGTGGGCAGTCCAGACTGTTTGGTACCCCACTGACTATTATAGATTCAGGCGGTGCTCTCATGATAAAGTAATTATTTTTCTTTTTTCAATTAATTTGATTCAAGTTTGAGGTCATGCTACCGGTTTCAGAAATCTTCCCCACACTGCAGCTGTAACAACCGTGGATTGGCACCCAAACTTGCCCATGTTTCTGACAAGCTCAGCTGATCACTCAGTTAGAGTAACATCCGTTCTGTAATGTGTGTCAATTTTACATGTTATTTTAACGTAATTTTTGGTCGGTTAGAAGTTTGAGTGAATTTTTCTCCTCTGTGATCTGACAGAAATTCTCACATCAGAGTACCTTTGAGCAGCTTGTGTTATATAGGATGCATCTTTAGCAGTATGTATTATGACCGGATAGGATGAATTTTCCCTAGTTGTAATTCATTGAATATTATGAAGTTATAATGCATCATTCATTCTTTGTTGTAATTCATTGACCCATCTTTGCTAGTTGAGGGGTTCTACCTTCGCCTGTTTTCTCCTACCTATTATCTTTCTGTGACAAACTTTTAACTCTCTTAATTTGAAGGCTATTCTGGTAAGTGATTATTACATAGGTAAAGAAACTGCAGAAATTTGCCGCAATAACATACTTTTTGGAGAGGTTCGGTGCTGACCCACTTTTAAGAAGGGATAGTTTTGACTTGTAATTAAATGCTCACCTTCATAAATCCGAGAACGTTACAGAAACGTTTTTTCTTATTATTATTTTTAAATTTTTAAGATGATATAACTCCTTCAAGATTACAATGAAGAAATAAGTGTAAGAATGACATTCGAGAGGCTTAATAGCTGCTGCCGGAAACAGCATCCAACAGAAAGGACAATAAAAAAAATTAGGGTAATTTCCAAGTACTTACCCAACAAAACCCAATTTGGGTTTTATGATTTATCCCAAATGTCTCTCACGATGTCAATTAAATAATGGTAAAGGATGGCCATCAAGGCTATGGATGTAATTTCAATGATATTCTGGAAAAGAAAATAAAAATAAAGAAAAAATAAGCCATTGTTCTGTTAATGACCAATCGACCATATGCTAGTCCTTAAGGTGCTGCCTGCGGCCTGCCTCAGTAGAAGCACAGCATGTTCAATCATGTGTACCTAAGCTCTGAAAATAAATAAGAACATAACCCATTAACTTAACCAAAAGACTTTCGTTTTCACTGATAAAGGGAAATCATTGATCATAACTTTTCACTTGAGAAGGAAATCGGGTTTTTGGATTTGGAGAAGGTGGCTAAGATATGGTGAGGATGTTCTTTTTCTTTATCAGTTCTTTTAATTATATAAAATATGTAAGTGATAATTGTAGGGGAATTCTGTAGTTCTGTCAAATCAGTTTACCTTTTGCCGTTATATAATTTAATTATGCTCAAGGGAGATATTCGAGGAAAAACCCAAATGTGATGGAAGATCTCGAATTTTCTTAGTAGACTTGGGTTTTGTTGGATTTTTCCTAAACCTAACAAGAGGTTTTTGGAAATTACCCTGAAAGTGAAACTAAACATGTAATTCAACACTAAAAACAAAACCCCGAATTGTTGTGCTCAAAACTAAAGAGAGAACACAATTTTTACGTGCTTATGTTCTCGAGTCGTGATGACCAATTCACTAATTATGAGGATCAAAATTGTTCGGAAACTTTTAAAACATTCACTCAAAATATTCAAAAGAATAAATGTTTAGAAATTGAATATATATATATATATACTACTATGAAAATAAATACCAAATTGCATTTCCATATTGCACTTGTTATTCAATAAGCAGAGAGAGGTGGAAGAGGCAGCAATCCCCTCCGTTTCACAAGTCACAATTCAAAAGAAAATTATGTAGAAATGTTGTAATAATTACACAAAAAACACTAAATTGAAAGGACTTGAGACTTAGAAACTAAGTCTTGTTCGCAGTTTGGAGATACTGACAGCTCCTGTCACATAGAGCCAATCTTTTGCATCAATCAAGAAATTGAAGTAAGCATGTCTCCACGAAGCTTTGAACAATAAAGTGCCACAGACTCCCCAAAACCCTACTACAAAACCAGTTACCGAACTCAAATAAAACCATAGTTTGTCTTTTGGAGAGTCAGTGTCCTCTTTTCCTCCATTATTAGTGGCTGGACCTTGAGCTGATTCATCACTTGGACACTTAGTTGGAAGTGGCAACCCACACAAACTGGGATTCCCTCCATACACTGAGGAATTGAAGCTTTGGAGTTGGGTGCCTGATGGAATTCTGCCTGACAAGTTGTTATTTGAAAGATCAAGAACACTAAGACCACTTATTAGTGAAAGGGTCGGAGGAATTTCACCTGAAAATTGATTTCTTGATAAATCAAGGAAATCCAATGATTTTAATTGACCAATTTTCGAAGTGATTTCTCCACTCAAATTGTTTCTAGAAAGGTTCAAGGCAACCAATCCTGTAAGACTCATAATCTCTTCAGAAACTTCTCCACTTAGTATATTGCTTGAAAGGTCAAGGATCTTTACCAATCCTAGAATATTCTTGAACTCGCTTTTACTTCCTTTCCATGTCAACACTGCATTATCAAAATACTCATAGCTCCCAAATTGATAACTAATATGGGGGTTATAGTCGGTGGTGATGGTGGCACTGATATTGTTTCCCTGAGTCATTGCGGAAAAATGGTTGAAACATTTTGGTATAGTTCCTGAAATATTGTTTAAAGAAAGGTCCAAGACTTGAATATTTGCTAGACGGCATAGCCGGA